TTATTAATATATTAAACTTTGTTCTTAGCTGAAGGACGTCGCTCTCATTCCATTCCCAAATATTTGCCACGTACAGAGGGAAGATTATAACTGTATATCCAAACAGAGGAACTGCCTAAATAAGATAAACTATTGTGGAAAACATCAGCACGCAAAAGGCAGCCAATACCAAGGTGTAATAATCTCACACATTTTCAATGATAATTATCCTAAAAGATGTGAAGGGAGAAATGCAAAACATAAAAGTAAACCTGAAAACATAAACAAAAGCTCAATATTTGAATAAATGGAAATAAAAAAAACAATAAATAACAGAAAACTGTCAACTGGAAGAGATTATATACTTGCAGAAGCAATGATTGATACATTTTTATGTAATAATATCTATCACTGGTCTATTTCTGACTCAATTTGCTCATATATATTTTTTAATCGAAAACACTTTTTACCCAGTAACAACCTCAACAAGGAATAACAGACAGGTTAATTTAATTTCTTTTTGTTGTTTTTCATCATATTTTGACATCTTTTAATGTTTATATTGTTTGTTCAAATGGTCCACTTTGTCCCCCTATCTAAGCTCCCTACAGCTAAGGAAATGGGCATCATCCTGGCTAATGAGGTATTCCGTCTGCACGGGCTGTCAGCTGACATTGTGTCTGTCGAATATCCTCCGTTTGTTGCCCGTTACTGACAGGAGTTCTGCTTGATGTTTGGGGGTCTCCATTAACCTGTCTTCTGGTTTCAATCCTCAGACCGAAAGTCAAACAGAAAGGATGAACCAGGAGGTTAAGACTAAACTTCGTCTCCTCTGTGAGTCCGACCCCACTCAGTGGGCATAGAACCTTCCCTGGGTTGAGCATGCCACAAAGAAGCTGAAAAAGAAAAAAACAACCCCCACAAACTGGAACCCTAACAGTTATCGCTTATCGTTAACTTATTACTACTTTTAAACACCACTTTATTTTTTATTTGCATTTGTATTTTATGATTGTGTATAGCACTTTGGTTCTGTTAGGCGTTGAAAGTACTTTATAAATAAATATGGTATGGTATGGCACCTTCTCCAGTGTAGTGGCAGGGGCCTCTGCCATGATTTGCGCCTGCTTTCTCGTCTGCTGTGTCTCAGTATGTCTGTATATCGAATTCAATGCTCACAAGCAAAAATAATTATTTGTGCATATTATATGAATTTTTTCTTTGAATAATTATTTAATACATTTAAAGATTAGTATTCGGGTACAAATATTGTTAAATAAAAATCTTGCATTTAACTGTAGATGTAGGTTTTATATGGGTAGCTGTGGGTACCTGACCTGGTGCAGGACTCTGCCCTATATATCTACATCTACTGAGTGACATTGTAAGGTGAAAGGAGGAAGATAAACTTAGGTAAAGTTTTCTATCATAATGTCCATGATAACACACTTTCTTCTAACATCTCTTTTGGTAATTAGGCCAGTAGGAAATATGGCAAGCAAAAAAATGTCATGATCTTGGCACTGATGACTCGTGTAATGGTTCAGTCCATTCAGCTGTCTAGCTCTACCCAGTTTCTGATCACTGTTTATCCATGTCACCTTCTCTAGTCTCTATAAAAACTGCCTGCTCCCAGTCAATGGTGCCAGATTATTTGAGCCTTCGGTGAGAGTTCTATAGCATACCTGTTTTTGATCTGCTTTCAGAACTTTGAGCCTGCCTTTTCCGGTTTTGGATTTGTTCTGCTGGCTTCTGCCTGTGGACTAAACGTGGATCTGCCTCCTGACTCGTATTTATATTTCGGTACCTCTTTGGATCTCTGGTCTTCTGGCCTGGAGTTCTGTGAGCCTCTTCAACACTGGCATTGGCTTGTCCTCCGGAAAGTCGCACCTTCCTTTGTCTTCTCTGATTTGCTCATCAGCCAGTTCAGCTGTCTTCAAGGCTTTGGCTCATGGAACTCTCTGGGCGGCGTTCGCCGCATGCTGCTGGTAGACATCCGACTTCTTGTCAGGTTGAGTGGAGATTGGTTGAGGACCCTGACCTGACCTGTCTTCGGACTCATGGCTTTGACTCGGATATCACCTCGGTACCTCTGTCGATCCCTGATCTTCCAGCCTGGACTGTGAATCTTTTCTACAGCAGCTTTAGGTTCATCTTCTGGATAGTCCTGTTTTCCTTCATCTGCTTGGATCCAGAAGTCTTCAAGGCTTCGACTCCTGGAACTGTCTGGACGGCATTCGTTGCATGCTGTTGGCAGTTATCCAGCTGGATTCTTCTGGGCACCGAAGGAACCTTAAGACTAGGCTAGTGAGTCATGTGCTCGGTATCGTCCTCCGTCATATTTACATTGTCATTAGCCTGAGTTTTCTCTCTCCAGAGATTCTGGACTTTGACGACCTAGCTGCTGAATTATAGATCCAACGTTTATCAATAAACACTTTTGAGAATTATACCTGTCTGTCTGGTTTGAATTCTGGGTCCTTTGTTCTGGGACCAGACAAAAATGGGTCTGACAGGTGTGGAAAATTTTGATTTATCTAATGACATATATTAATTTATCCTATTTAATTGCTATAAAAGTTTTCACTCAGTCTTTTTCCACCTGCAAGGCCACATAATTCCCCTGCATGAGGGTGTTTGTAGACCAGACATAGCTTCTTCGCAAAACAAGCCAGATTCCTTGTTAAGAATTACTCATAAAATGTCACTGTTTAACCAAAATGTCTGTAATTGGTTTAGACTCTGACTACTTTCCATTACTGTAAGTTAAGGGAACACACTCTGCCCCAGCAGAACAGGGCTGAAGTACCAAGCAGTAAAGACTGTATGATGAACTGTTCTCTCTGCAATAAGAAAATAAAGTGCTGACTGAGTGAACTCTATGAATCTCCATTTATTTAACTGGGGTGAATAGTTGAATACTGTTTTCCCACTACACAAGATAACATCAGCTACATTAACTGTAGAAATATTTAAAACCTTACTGTTGATAAGGTCCAAAATATGTACTATATTATGTGTTAGCTGTAGAATGTGTTGAGTCAAACCAATATTTTAAGTGTATGAAAATATTGTTTTTCACATATGTCTTCATGGTTGTCATCATGAACACTAAAGTCCCCTACTGGAATTGAATAGTCAGGTTCAACACATATTACAAATAAAACTATGCATTAATTCAACTGCTGGTTGTCTAGGTGATGTCTTGAAAATGAAGTGGGCTACATTGATAATAAACAAACTTTTTTTGGATAAATTGGTCTGAAATGTAGATAAGGCATTCATATCACCATCATCTCAGAGAGACCATCTCTTTTTTCTAGGAATCTCGCCAAATTGTTTAGTCCTCCAAAACCCTGACAGTCAGACAGGGGTGCAGATATGAAAAGCATAGTTTTTATTTAACACAGTTCTCTGCACCTACATTACTGTTACCCACCTATTGCTCCATCCAGAGAGTGTCTTGGCCTTGACCAAAATCAATGAAATTAGAAAGTAAATCTAGATAATCTAAGACTAAAATTCTCCAATTAAGAGAAATGTTGAAACTATTAAATGTGGTTTATTGAACATAAGATCTCTCTCTTCAAAGGCTTAAAGGAATAGTACACCCAAAACATGATTAGCCTTCATTTTCTACTCACCCCCATGCTGAACAACACTCTGGAGTACTTTTTTGATATCTCAAATGCATCTGGAGATCTGGGAGGCTTCTTGCTGTCTGCTGACATTCAAATAGTGGAGGTCTATGGTGACCGAGACAGAAAGGTCCATAAAAGTCCACAAAAAACGTGTCAATATTCCTCCATACTGCTCTTCCAATGTATTCCAAGTTTCCTGAGTGGATAGCATCCAGAATTTACTCGAAACGAAGTCATTTAGAATGTTTTTAGAGCATAAACAGTAGTGTATAGGATTTCCTGAAAGCGCGCACATGCGCGCTCACGACGCTACGGAAGCCGGCAGACCAAGCCAGATGAAAGTGGGCATTCAGCGTCTGCTCTGCCAATAATGCAAGCGTAGAAGAAGAAATGTGCTGTTTACCTGTGCAAAGAAAGACACAACGAAAGAAAAATGTCTGAGGACTTCAGTGTTGAGGAAGAGCATGAGTTCTTTGCCGAGCTGAATGCGCTGGTTTGGTCTGCCGGCTTCCGTAGCGTTGTGAACGCGCATGTGCGCGCTTTCAGGAAATCCTATACACTACTGTTTATGCTCTAAAAACATTCTAAATGACTTCGTTTCGAGTAAATTATGGATGCCACCCACTCAGGACACTTGGAATACATTGGACGAGCAGTATGGAGGAATATTGACACGTTTTTTGTGGACTTTTATGGACCTTTCTGTCTCGGGCACCATAGACCTCCATTATTTGAATGTCAGCAGACAGCAAGAAGCCTCCCAGATCTCCAGATGCATTTGAGATATCAAAAAAGTACTCCAGAGTGTTGTTCAGCATGGGGGTGAGTAGAAAATGAAGGCTAATCATGTTTTGGGTGTACTATTCCTTTAACTAATGAATGGCTTGATCCTTGATAAAAAATTTAAAAAAAATCTATGTTTTCTTAGAGAAACCTGGCTACAACAGGATTAAGTAGCATAAATGACCCAACTCTCTCCAGCTGTTCATAGTTTATATGCCCAGAAAATGTGGACAAGGAGGAGTAGGAATTTTTTTTAGTCTGACTCAATATAGAAATAATATGTGTCTTCGTAACTTTTAATTTTAAATATATTAATATAGATTTTAGTTTAAAACTGGCATTGTTCAGTTGTTCTGTTTAGTTTCTGTGCAATAAAAATGTATCTGTAGATCAATAGGTAGTTTCATATAAAAATATTAACGGGAGTTTTGGGACTACATTTACAGATTTTATATGAGATGTGAATATTTCTAAAGTGTTTGAACAGCACAAAAATGCTAAACAAAAAATTCTCAGGGATTCTCATGTCACTGTTGTAAAATGACGTACTTTATAGCTGGACTTTCACCCTATTCCTATTTAAACTCTCATGTTAGTTGAGGAGAGCTGAATTCATCCTGACCCACAACAGGTATGCCACTAAAATGTTTCTTTTTGTTAGTCAATATTTCATTTTATTTATTATATCTAGTGTTTTTATGTCTAACCTTATAGAATGGAAAAGCTTCATGTGGTCGAAATTTTGTTTCCTGTGGTCTTCTGTCTTTCAGAGTTGTGGTTATGTGTTTTACATAAAGCAGAACATAGCCTGTTTTCTGTTTCAAAAGTTGTATTTTGGTTTGCTTTCTTATTGTTTTCTTATTGTTTTTAGTGCGCTAGGACTTTAACTACTCTATATTCAGCCATCAGTATCAGTTCCTCCTGTCACCATGAAAACTGTTTTCGTCCTTTGTATCTGCTTTCAACTCTGCCTTGCTATAGGCTTCAGATCAGATTCTGGTAAGTTCCTTTGTTTTGTCATTAAAATCAACTGCACACAGGATTCTGCTTCCATTTTTCATATATCATGACTTTTGGGTCCTTCGGCAAAGAATGGAAATAGTACTTCTAAAGCAACCCACATCAGAATGACGGTTTTGTTTTTACATTTTAAAATAAAGGGTTCACTCAAATCAATAGAAAAGACACCTTTATTACATCAGACGTGGCTGAGTATTATTAACTGAAAGAAATCCCATTATACTCACCAAACGTTCAGTTTAACTTATTTTCAACATCTAAAATACATTTTATTATTCATTATCTTTGCCTGGATAGAGAGATGAACATTACACTAACTGAGTAGGTTTTGCTAGTGAAATAATGGTATCATTATATTAAACTCTTTTTAAAATCTGCTTTTCAAAAAGCATGAAATGTAGCATTTTTTTTAAAGTACAATAACACATTTGTTAGTGTTTATCGTATTAATCATTTTACTTAACAGGTTAAGAGTCCAATCAGCCTGTGGTCCAAACACCTGAAAAAATGACTGTGGAATTTAGATGAGGAAAGAAAGAAGTCTTTAACTAGTTGCTGTTCAGTTATATTAGTAACTACGTAAAACCTGATTATAAAGTGAATAGCTTTTGAGAGAAGTTGCAAATAACTTAAGTACTTTTTTAAATATTTTGCAATTTCTTTTGGTGTATTTGTGTTATATTTTAATCTGCATGTCGTTTTCAAATACAGGTGAGATTTCAAACCAAGAATGGATCAAAGAACAACTTGAAAACATAACGAAAAAGCTGGAAGAAGTAGAAAAGCAAAATGGTAAATCTAGCAATACAAAATGATTGCTGCAATTCAGAAAATAAATCAATGGATATAATGAAACTGAAAGGGGAGAATTTAAATCAAAGAGTAATTGTTAAAGAAATTAACAGCTGTGAGGGAAGATACAAATGATTTATTTTGATTTTTTTTTTCTAATATTTTGCAATTAGTTTTGATCTGTTTCTATAATAACTTAATTTTAATCTTCAAATTGTTTCAAACAGCGGATGTGATTTCAAACCAAGAGGGGATGAAAGTACAACTTCAAACCATGACGAAAAAGCTGGAAGAACTGGAAAAACAAAACGGTAAATATAGCAAGTTAAATTATTGCTGGAATTGAGAAATTAAGTCAATGGAAATAATTAAGTGAAAGAGGAGCAATTTAATTCAAAGAATAATTGTTAAAGAAATTGACAGCTGAGAGATTTTCAGTTGAGTTTTGATGAGGAAAGAGATCTTTACTTGTCTAGTTGTTGTTTGGTTATATTTGTAACTAAGAAACAGTCAAGAAAATTAGTTCTGAGGGAAGATGCAAATGATTAAATCTGATTTTTTTTTTATATTTCAAGTTTGTCTGTTTATAGCATAATAACTTAATCTTAATCTTCATATTGTGTCAAACAGCGGATGTGATTTCAAACCAAGAGGAGATAAAAGAACAACTTTACAAATCAATGAAAGAACTGGAAGCAATAACAGGTAAATCTAGAAAGCCAAAGTGATTGTTGGAAATTAGAAAAAAAATTCAGTGGAGACAATGAAAGTAAAAGGAGAAAATTTTAATTCAAAGAATAATTGTTGAAGGTATTAACAGCTGTGTGATTTTCAGTAGAATTTGGATGAGGAAAGAAATCTTTACTTGTCTAGTTGTTGTTTGGTTATATTTGTAGCTAAGTAACAGTCAAGAAAATTAGTTCAGAGGGAAGATACAAATTATTTAATCTGATCTTTTCTAAAATTTTGCAATTGGTTTCGGTCTGTTTCTATAATAACTTCTTGAGAAATCTTGAGATTTCAAACGAAGAGGGGATCAAAGAAGAACTAAGAAACATGACGAAAAAGCAGGAAGAACTTTAAAAGCAAATGGCTAATTCTAACAACTCAAAAGACTAAGCTGGAAAGTTGTGTAATTTAATGTTTTCTTCATTGCAAAAATAAGGTGTTTGCTCTGTACCTGCACCAGCTGTGGGGTATCATTTACTCTACAATTATACAGGTTTATATAGCCTTATTAGTCTTTCATATTAACTTCTTTTTAATTCTACACCTGAAACTACACTGTAAAAAACAAAAACTCAGTAAAATATATATATAGCAAAACACTGTCAAAAGCAAAAGTAAATGACCGTGAAACCATAAGTGGTCCTTGACTTTATTAAATACATTAAATAGCTGTTAATCAAGTGACTGGATAAAAACACTAAAAATTACTCATAAAACTTACAGTCATTTACAGTGAAAATGAATAAATATATAGAAATTTTAAAAGAAATTGCTGTAGAGAAAAACATTTCTTAAAACCTTAATTTTAACAACAAAATTTACAGGAAATACTTGTTGATTGTAACGCAAGCATGAACCTTAATTTTTACAGAAGCAAAATGGTTAAAAATATAGTTCACTGTAAAAATGCCAACTGTGCACTGTTATAAAATAGCTGAAATATCAGCAGTAAAAGACAAAAAATAAATTATTAAACTTTATTATAAAAACATTTTATATCCGTTAATGACAGGATATTAAAATAAACAAATTGCAACCTTATTTCTGAAGCTTCTTAATTTTCTATTAAATTTTTAATAGAGAAATAAAAAACAGAGTATCATTGAAGAAAGAAGTAAATTTAGAGTTGAAAATTAGTTCTTAAAACTGTAAATATAGATAACTATATACAAAAGTTTCATTTAAAATGTTTTTCTATTTGCCTTTTGTGTGTGCTATAGAAGTTTTGATGTTCATTGCAACCGTACATGCAGAATGACCAATCTACTAGAGAGCCCCAAAGATAACGATACAATATAATTTTTAATAATAATAATAATAATAATAGATTTTATTTGTAACGCACCTTACATTTCAAAGAAATCTCAAAGTGCTACAGAGACCAAAAGAAGAAGAAAAAAAACAAAGACAAAAATAATAACAATAGTAATAAAATAAAAAAAATAAATAAATAAATAAATAAATAAATAAATAAAGAACAAACTGTAGGGCTTACAGCAATACATCCTACATCGAGCGGCACCAAAAACCAACAATTACCAAAAAATAATAATAATAGTAATAATAAATAGTAATAATAAAAAATAAAGAATAAATTGTAGGGCCCACAGCAACACATCTCGCACCAAGTGGTACCAAAACCAACAATTGAAACAAACAATAAAAACCACAATTTAAAACAAAACTCACAGTTCTAAAAGGCCTGTTTAAAAAGGTGAGTCTTAAGACCTTTTTTAAAGGCCTCCACACCTTGTGGGGCTCTCAGGGACTCTGGAAGGGCATTCCAGAGCCGTGGAGCTACTGCCTGAAAAGCCCTATCCCCCATAGTGGCAAGTTTGGTCTTAGGTTGATGCAGGCAGTAAAAGGAGGTGGAGGAACGAAGCCTACATGATGAAACATAATGTAAAAACATGAACAATTTTGTAATAAGTCTTTGTTTTACCCTCTTAACATTCACCTCATTTTGGGTAATCCTCGCCTACTTTGCATACCCAAACGGAAAAGCATATAACTTAGGAACTATAAGCCCAAATTACATGTGCAATACATTTTTCGAAAGATAACACCCTCTAATTTCTGAATGTGTAAATTGGATGAAATTATAATTGGATGAATTAAAATTGGATCAGAAGAACACATACCAACCTGCATCAGTTCAAACATGACTCAAAGTTGTTATTTTTTTTATTATTCGGAAATGATATGTCTTTTTTGAACAGCAGTAATAAAGACATTCTTGAGAAAAAGCAGGTTTCATTTTATTATATTTGTTCCACATCATGTCAACCACAAATGCAGAAAAGTTTAGACCTCTAGCTATAACAGTTCCAGAGCTGTGGGGTTTTCTACATTTGGTGTCAGCTTGGAGCTGTGGCAATGGCTCCACCTGCTGGTAAAAATTTTACCCGTGGAATTTTATGCATTCAGAATTATTACCCTCACTTAAGGTCCACCTGGTCGCCGGCAATCCGGTGGGTTTTAAGAGGTTAATTACTATAATCAGATAAAAATTATAATGTATTCATGCAACAAACCTGAAAACAATAATTGCTCTTGGGGGCCCTTTAGTAGCCCATGAATGTTACCTAGCAACTAAGTTTGCTTCTGCCTTGGGCCAGCCCTGAGTCTGCAAATTACAATAAAAACAACCCTATTTCCCTCAAATTTGATTTAACAATTTTTTTCCCTGCTCTTTTATACCTCATTATCAGCCCACCTTGGATGTGTCCACCTTGAATCTAGAGTTAGTGTGATAGTTGTGGATTTACAGCTGAACAGCTGTTTTACTATTTGAAATCACATTACATGTCTTTATTTGTGAGAGTTTGAATTGCAAAGTGCAAAACAAAAAAGTATTTTCCCTCCTCTTTTCAAAGCTGTTCCGATTAACAACCTTACTGAGCGTTTTACCTAATAGGTTGGCACGCTGCTAAGCTGTGCGAAGATCGCTCGTTTGCCCATAAGAAGAGACAGCCGCTATCATTTCTTCACCATGCTAACTGACGCAGCTTCTGAGCTTGTGCCGCTGCGCAGCAAACATATTTTAATTGTCTGACGCTTTCCTCACCTGGACTGCCTAAAATGAATATCCGAGGTGAGTACATCCATCCGGTTTGAGTATTTTAGATTCCATTTTAATTTAATTGTTTCTTGGAGTCTCCTTTGTTCTTTGACTAGTTTTATCAGCTGTATTGAAAACCCAGCAGTACAGTTACCAAGCCTTTAATTTTTAGGTATTTATTCCTGTGTGTGTGTGGGGGTGTGTGTGTGTGTGTCTGAAGGTAACTAAGTGGAAGACACGTTGAGATGCAATTTCTGTCGAAAGGTGGAGGCGGTATGTGCTTCACTTCAAGCTTCATAGGAATGAGCCACATTATGTTTTTAAGTGCATTGAAACTGACTGCAAGCAAACATTTAGTAGGTATGGAGCGCTTAAGGCAAATTTTTTTATTGAAGACAAGCTGTTCCTACTAATATCAAAGTTTTTAGGGCAGTTACCTCTTTTAAATGCACAATGACTATGTGCCAACACCAGAGTAAAGATACTAAAGAGCTAAAAGCTCCTCTGAAGAGTCTTTTTGTCGAAAAACATGTGGTTACTTGTCCAGTTAAAGGATGCACAAGTACCTTTAAGAACAAGTTGTGTTTTATTTTACATCTGTCAGCTGGCTGAATCTTATTTTGTGTCTTCTTTTGAACAGTTTTTCTTTTCCTGACATTTCTCAACCCTGAGTTTAAACGACATCAAGAAATCAAATCAAACCTCCACGTCAAAGGACATGGTGAGATTTCAAGTGGTATAAAAGCCAGGCATTATTTTTTCCTTATCTTTTCAAACGACCTTCTAAAAAAATTCGTTTTGTCTTTTTGCCCTAGGGCTGTGCTGTTGTGACCAGCATTAGAAGGAAGGGAATGAGAAGCAAATGTGTCAAGAGGATGATAGATGAAAACCTGCTAAAGACGGAATTCAACCTTAAGGCGAGGAGTTTTGCCCAATAACAAGATTGAACTGATACATCTGCACTAATCTACTAGAATCACTAAAAAAGTATGAAGTCTGTTTGACTTCAGTCAAGTTGACAACTAGAGATTTACTAATAGGTAACCAATGGTTTGTTCCAAATAGTTTGGCAGAAAATGCAGCCATTAATCCAGCACAATCAGGGTATTTTTCCAAATTTTTTTCTTTTCATTTCTGCTTTAAAATTTCTAGTTTCAGTGGGGTGAAATAGGCGCTTCCTGTTGCCAGTTTTCATGGTGGCTCATCAAATCTGTGCTCCACTGATGTCTTTTCATATTTGTTTTACGCATGTGCTAAACTCTGAGTCATAAAATAAACAATGAGTCTTAGGCTAGGTAAATATAGAGTTGCGGATTTGAATCTGAGTTTGTTAAACCTGCTTTGTGAAACGGATCCCTGGTCTTAAAAAGTAAATAGGGTGCCTGTTGTTAAATTGACTAAACAAAAGCATACAGAGTCGGAGCTGAAAAAAGAAAGAACTCTTCCCCCAAAGCAATGCTTAGAGCCACCCCTTTCTTCTTATAACTTGTTCTTCCTTTGCTTCTTAAAGGAGAAGTTCGGTTTTTTACACTTTAAGCCCATTTTCTGTAGTGTCCAGGATGAAATCGAATGATCGACACCAAAAGTTTGACAATTGCTCCTGTCTCTGCTTTTTGGCTCATGCAGAATCCACCCCTGGCTGCTTCAGAATGGCTTGCATAATGTCCTTAAAACAACCTTAAACATTCTTTTTTTAAAATATGCTACTCACCGGGTCGTCAGCGCTGTTCAATGACGTTCCAAAAAAAGTTTCGTAAAGAAAAAACGTTCCTGTAGTGTTTTATTTAGCATTTTGTAAATCCCATTGAGTTCTGTAGGAATAGTCAAAATTCCGCTGCCACCGGAAACGGAAATGGGGCCTGTTTACACAGTTGTAGTCTTTTCGCTTCACTCTGTGTACTCCGACGTCGAGGTGCTAACGTCTCTGTTAAACACTTTAAAAAACTCTGAAAATGGAATACGAAAGGTGGATTCTTGATTCTCGACGTCGGAGTACACAGAGTGAAGCGAAAAGACTACAACTGTGTAAACAGGCCCCATTTCCGTTTCCGGTGGCAGCGGAATATTGACTATTCCTACAGAACTCAATGGGATTTACAAAATGCTAAATAAAACACTACAGGAACGTTTTTTCTTCACGAAACTTTTTTTGGAACGTCATTGAACAGCGCCGACGACCCGGTGAGTAGCATATTTTAAAAAAAGAACGTTTAAGGTTGTTTTAAGGACATTATCGGACATGCTCTATGGAAGCCATTCTAAAGCAGCCAGGGGTTGATTCTAAATGAGCCAAAAAGCAGAGACAGGAGCAATTGTCAAACTTTTGGTGTCGATCATTCGATTTCATCCTGGACACTACAGAAAATGGGCTTAAAGTGTAAAAAACCGAACTTATCCTTTAAAGGGGAAAGTAGACACAATCTCATGAATTAAGTTAGTTTGGTTTAATGTTTCATATACCATTTAAGCATTGAGATAAACAGTCTCTTCTGCTTAAAGTGTCCTCAAATATAGTCCACTACGAACCAGACATAAAAAACATCTATATGAAAGTGCAACTCAAAATAGGAGCCCATATTAAATTAATATCCCATAAAATAAATCATGAAACATCTTTGTTAAACCAGAAATAAATCCTCAACATGTGTGCCACATGGACTAAAACTGGGAGCTGATTCCACAGGGAAGGAGCCTGATAACTAAAACATATGCCTCCCATTATAGTTCTATACACTTCAGAAAAGTCTCAGCTCTGTGATGTTCAGTTATTCTGTTTTGATGTCGCATATCAGGCTTTATCAAAAATTTATTAACAATCACAGATTCACTCACCTACTTTTAACATTGCGTTAAACTCCTGAAATGACACTTTGGCTGAGGCAGTGTTATGTAACATCATCAAGTGGGAATGCTTAAGCATTGAAATAGTAAATGATTTCCAGCATACTCTGAAATGCTTCAATGCTTAAACCCAAAACGCCATTAAACAATTTAAGTTTATGTTCCACATAAACCTGGGTATCTGTTTAATTAGCTGCCTTCTAAAGCACCCAGATACATGACACAGGAATAGAAATGAAATAAAACTGAAATTACATTATTTAAAGCAATGAAATTCAATTTAAAAACTTGAAATACAGTTTTGCTAAATTTTCAAAACTCATAAATTTGAAGTTCCATTAAAAAATAGACTTGATACCCTGTGTCATTTTTCATTTGGAGTTAGTTTGGGGTATTTCCTACCACCTTCTGACTAGCTTTAAAGGAATAGTACACCCAAAACATGATTAGCCTTCATTTTCTACTCACCCCCATGCTGAACAACACTCTGGAGTACTTTTTTGATATATCAAATGCATCTGAAGATCTGGGAGGCTTCTTGCTGTCTGCTGACATTCAAATAATGGAGGTCTATGGTGCCCGAGGCAGAAAGGTCCATAAAAGTCCACAAAAAACATTTCAATATTCCTCCATACTGCTCGTCCAATGTATTCCAAGTTTCCTGAGTGGGTAGCATCCAGAATTTACTCGAAACGAAGTCATTTAGAATGTTTTTAGAGCATAAACAGTAGTGTATAGGATTTCCTGAAAGCGCGCACATGCGCGATCCCGACGCTACGGAAGCCGGCAGACCAAACCAGCGCATTCAGCTCGGCAAAGAACTCATGCTCTTCCTCAACACTGAAGTCCTCAGACATTTTTCTTTCGTTGTTTCTTTCTTTGCACAGGTAAACGGCACATTTCTTCTTCTACGCTTGCATTATTGGCAGAGCAGACGCTGAATGCGCACTTTCATCTGGTTTGGTCTGCCGGCTTCCGTAGTGTCGTGATCGCGCATGTGCGCGCTTTCAGGAAATCCTATACACTCCTGTTTATGCTCTAAAAACATTCTAAATGACTTCGTTTCGAGTAAATTCTGGATGCTACCCACTCAGGAAACTAGGAATACATTGGACGAGCAGTATGGAGGAATATTGACACGTTTTTTGTGGACTTTTATGGACCTTTCTGTCTCGGTCACCATAGACCTCCATTATTTGAATGTCAGCAGACAGCAAGAAGCCTCCCAGATCTCCAGATGCATTTGAGATATCAAAAAAGTACTCCAGGGTGTTGTTCAGCATGGGGGTGAGTAGAAAATGAAGGCTAATCATGTTTTGGGTGTACTATTCCTTTAAGATCTACAACCTTTAAGAAATACTTTATGAAAGCTTGTTTTAACATATTGTTTCGTCTTTGTTCATGTTTTTAATGCACAGCATTGATCAAATGTTGCTAACTGTCTATTTTCTTTTTTCTGCAAGCTGGATTCCTGCAGTCGAAGTGAAAACCCAATGGAAAGCAATCTAATTTCTCCAGCAGAACCTGTCTGTTTGATGCCATGTACATTTAGAACCTGGTCTGTCTGGGGGCTATCTTCAACTAAATCCAGACTCTGTAACTTGTTCCTGTTCAGTAAGGCGCAAGTGATTATGAGTTGACCATCTTTTTGTTCAACATTTAACAGTTATATATGCTACATTGTCAAGGTTCATATTGATTTGTGATCGTGCAGATAATACAGTAGGATCTGTACTGTCCTCTTTCCCAGTATGTGATGTAGTGAAGCAAACAATTGTCTTATTGATTTTCAATGATAATCAGTATCTTGATTACAATTCTGAATCTTTAAGTTCCCAAAGTAAAATTTACACCAAAAATGTAATTTTCACATGTATTGTAATGTATTTTTAGCGGTAAAATACCAGCAGCCTTGGTTGCCAGAAATTTACCATGAAATATAACTTTTGAAATGAAATGTTTACAATGTTGCTGTGTTTTTTATTAACTTAGCTTAAAGCTTAAGGCTAAGGCTTAAGATGGTTAAGCCCACCTTAAGTGGGGGTAATAACTCAGAATGCATAAAATTCCACCCGTAAAAATGTTACCAGCGGGTAAAGCCATTGTGCTTAGCTACAAGCTGTCACTAAAAGTTCCAAAGCCCCACAGCTCTGGAACTGTTATAGCAAGAGGTCTTACATTTTCTGCATTTGTGGTTGACATGATGTAGAACTAATTTAAGACAATAAAACATTCTTTTTCTCAAGAATGTCTTTATTACTGCTGTTCAAAGAATACCTATCATTTCTGAGAATAAAAAAAACAACTTTGAGTCATGTTTGAATTGATGCAGGTTGGTCTGTGTTCTAGTCACCCAATTTTAAATATTCATTTATATATTAGGAAACTAGAGGGTGTTAGCTTTTAAAAAGTGTATTGCACACGTAATTTGGGCTTACAGTACCTAGGTTATTTGCTTTTCCATTTGGGTATGCAAAATAGGCGAGGATTACCCAAAATGAAGTGGATGTTAAGAGGTTAAAAAAGGATTACCACATTTAACAGTTTCTTACTCTGATAATGTACTGTATACCCCACAAGAAATTATCGTAAAAAGAACTGTAAGAACTCTTGTATTACAGCCAATAAATGTAAAAAAAAAAAAAAAACTATAGAAAGGGCAATTGTTTTCACAGGACATTACATTTTAAGGGTTTATGGTATTTATCTTTCAACATTCATTTACAGTGAAAAAAATGTTTTCAACTGATAAATTTAAGGTTACTTAATCAATGGACAGCTTTGTCTTTGGTTTTGTGGTAACCACAGCTACCACTATTGTACCGCAATTTTCACTGTTTTTTTGCTTTTTTTTCCAGAGTACATCATTGGGATGTTGGTTTTAAGCATTGCAGTTATGCTAATTGCTATTGGCCTTGCTGTTTACAATTTATGGACCACATGTAAGTCATTTTTTTTTAAACAGTATATTTACCCAGTACAACAAAATCATCATCTCTATTATTTTGGCTTTCCTTTTTTTTTTTTTCATCAACTTTTTGTAGGTGTTGGTAGCTGTAGGCAGGAAGGATCATCTCAATTGATTTGTCTTACACATCTGAAGATGACTCATACTGAAAACACTTTGCTAACTGTTGTCCATAATCTTCTTATTATCTCAAATTTCAAAAATAATGATTATAGAATAATTAGAATCTTCTGTATGTTTGCTATTCTTTATTAGTCTATAGAAAGGTAAAAATGGGGTCCAAAATTTAATTATCTAATCAAAGTGTTTTTTATAGGTTGGTTTATTGTTCTTGCAATTTCTTACATTTTATTATCCATAATGTTTTTGCTAGATATACTATCAAATAAACAGGAAATGCACTTAGAAATAAAATAAGACACCAACTTTATATTTTGTAATATCTGATGCAAATAACAATTAAGAAAAAAAGGGAAAAAATAGAAAATAAGTAAATAAATTACTGGAAAAGCAAAATGGCATACCTGACAATTGAAAGACTTGTAGGCTGAAATTGTAATAACTGAAAACAGAAATAATTGATTAAATGGAAAGCAATACATCATTAGCAAGGGATTAGCTGATACAGTTTAATTAAATTAACATCATTGTCGATATCTCTCTCAAATTGGTTAATATTTTTGTTATTGAAATCGGTTGAATCCAGAAGCAACCTTTACAAAGAATTACAGACAGGTCCATTAAATTTTGTGGTTGATATTTTTTTGTTTTGTTTTGTTTTTTTTTTTCATCACATTTTCTAGTCTTTCAAAGTAGTTTCCGTTTTCCACCACAGATCGGAACTCTGAGAGAAGGAAGTCAGAAAATCTTGCAAAACTAAATGAATTGAAAGAGGACCTGGAGAACAAGAAAGAGTACCTGGAGAACAAGAAAAAAAATCTGGGCCAACAACTCAAAGAGGTTGAGATTAACATGAAGAAAAACAAAGACGAACTTCTGCAGGTGGAGGGGAAAATAACTGGAGAAGATACTTCTGATGGCAAGGATGAGTTATTAAGGAGAAAAGAACATCTGTTAAACTACCAGTGGAAACTTGATGATGAAAAGAAAGCCTGTGAAAGACAGCTACTGGACACGGAAAAGGCTCTTGAACCTATTGAAATCAAGCTATCAAAAATAAGAAAGGGAAATTAAGATATTTAAAAAAGGTTTCAAAGAGTAGTACAGCAGTATAGATTTCAGGTAAATAATTAAGACAAATGTGGGTTAATTATTATTGTTTTTTTAATCAGCTCTTAACATAGGGCATAGCTGCTATAACATCTGATGGGGAAAAAAAATAATGCTGATGGAAAAAAAACAAACAAGTATATGTAATTTAGGCCCAAACCTTGATCTAGATCTTTTAAAATTAGAAAAGAAGGACAACTGAAACATTTATCATGACTCAAAATGTTTTATGAAGTAGAAATAGCTTATTGTAAAAAACAGTATAAAGTAGCCAAAGGCTTTGCACAGTATTAAAGATATAAGCTATGGGTGGGTTGAGGGGTTTGAATCACATACTTGCATCAGTTGGTCTGATCTAAACACTTGGTGACCAATCCCCTTATTACTCCATCACTTATTTTTGAGAAACTAAAATGAAACATTATTCATTATTTGAAATCAAATGCATATTAGGCTGTTTTGTGATTTATTTGGCTGTCCATATCCAAATAGGACTTCTATTTCAGTTTATAAAGTCAACAGGCATTTTAAGCATTAAATCAAATTATCCGGCTGTTTTTTTCTTCATAGTTTTGACTATATCTCCTTTTTTGTGTTTTTTTAGTTTGATCTCAAACCAAAAAAAAAACGGTGTAAACATAGAAAAATTGTGCACTTTTTTTTTCTGTTGGTAAGTTCTATTTCTTTTATTTAACTGATATATAATTAATATAGCCCCATATTTGCATATGATTCTACTTTTAACAGTAACCTTTTGTTAGTGACCTTTTTTATAAAAGAATAAATATTAATGACCTACAGACTTCTATGATATTAGTGGGAGAGAGTCCCTAAGTTAACTTGGAAGTAAAATTATAAAATAATTATATTTCTTTGAAAAAAAATGTAAAGTGTTTAAGATATTTTCTGTGGCTGTTATTTTATTGGATAATGTATTCTTTGTATTCTGTATAGCAGAGACCCATAGGAAACAGTACTGAAATAAAAATAAAATTAAATTAAAAAACTAAGAAAAACTGTTGTGGATACAAGACATAGTTTATTACAGGAAACAGAGACTAAAGTCCAGATCAAAGTGGCTTCATTTAATTATTTACTTGTTTACCTGTATTTGTTTTGCAATTGCTGAAAATGTTGATATCTCATATGTTTATTGTGTAAAATGAATGGTATTGGCTCAGTAAATAAACATTTGTTCAACGATTGTTTTTAGGAGGCAACATTTATTTATATATTAAAATATCTAATACTTTGGTAGGCCGAAAAACAAATTGCTTATTTGTATTAACATTTCAGTAAGTGGGCTGCATAGTATATATATATATATATATATATATATATATATATATATATATATATATATATATATATATATATATATATATATATATATCTTTTTTTTCATGTTCTTAGTTTAATACTATAGCTTTAGTCTTCCCACTTACCTGAGTTGTCTTTCACTTCTGGAGGATTCCTGGATCGGCTGTTAAAATCCAGTTATTCCCACCAATTTAGTGACTTGGACTAGGTAACCAGCAGAGCTATTAATTACCAATCAAATAACTATTTGTCTCAGTTTATTCAAGCTGTTACCAAAAGAGGTTGGATCTTGCCTGAGTGATAAAGCATTTGTGTATGAATTACCAAACAAATGCAAGTTAAACAATGATGTCTTTATTCTAAAAATCCTTGATTACAGACATCTAACATCTATGCAGAAAACTACACACTATTAGAAAATAAGCACAAGGTAGACTAAATAACTAGTTTAGAAGAAAGAGATCAAAAATCCTAAGAGACTTTTAACTAACTTCTGATATTGTACAATGTAAGTCAGATGTTAATACATTCAATAGTGTCCGTTTGAAATAGCAGCAAATATGATGATAACAATAAAGCAGTTAAAACCTCACAAATACATTCAGCTTAAATGATAAATGATTAAAATGTATTAACAACAGCAGCATGTTACAACCAATCAGAAGGGGAGGGGGAGGCAGCGTGTGTGTGTGTGTGTGTGAGAGAGAGAAAGTGAGACCTTTGACGTTGTTTATTTACTTTACATCAGAAAACATACTCTCCATCATCACAATAAAAAAACAACCATTACCAAATAAAACACACACACACAGATATGTTGAATATTAAGAACCAGTGAGCCATCTTTCTCTACTTAACATAAAACATGTCTGAGATGTCATGTCACAGAGAGAGAGAAAGAAATGTGTTTCTAAGAGAGAATCAGCATATCTTATTGGGAGCCTTTACAAATGCCCGTTAGACTTGTAAAAAAAGAAATTGCTTAAAACCTTTGCACAGAGTTGTAACCGATGGGATCTCATGATGATACAACCATGGCTAAACACACACTCATCTGGGGCCCTGGAGTTCTCATCCATTCAGCATCCACAACTCTATGCATTACACTCAACTTGGACTTTATTTTGCTGTTCTTATACTTGCATATTTAAACTTTCTCATGACTGAACATTTGATTGATTCTCATCAGCATTGGCAGCTGTGCTTATCTTTTTATTCTTAAAAAAAATAATGCGTGGATATATGTTTTTATATCCACATTTTTTTATTAATAGCTTATATTTGGATAATGCTTATTATGCCTTAACAACACACACAAAAAAAATTATGTAATTTGTAAAATTGTAATTGGTTATAAAATATATCCTGACTCAGATTACTCATTGCATGCATGCATAAATATTCAGCAGGCAAGTTAATTGGTGTTTAAGCTCATTATGCAAATTAATTGTTTCTGATTGTGATATGCAATTGGCGAATGCATATCACTTGTGCCGTAAACGTTTAAAAAAAATCCACTGGACTTGGTTTCCAAGATTTGAAGATGTTTCGCTATCTCTCCAGGAAGCTTTCTGAATTCAAATGTCTGGATCCGCAGTTAGTTTGAGTCATTATATAGACAAGGCCTTGTATTGCTTGGAAATATGCAAATGGAAACCGATGAGTGGGTCGTTTGGTTCCATTGTTAGCCTGTAATATCTTAAACCTGTCTATGATTCTGAAGGTTGGTCGTTAAAGGGAGGGATTGTCGTTAAAGGGGGGATTGTCTCCTGAAATACATGAAACCTGCCTATGATTGTTAAGGGTCGGTCATTAAGGAGGTATTGTTCACCTGCTGAAGAGGGGAGGTACTTTGATCCTCTGTGAGTACCTCCCCTCTTCAGCCAGTGAACAATACCTCCTTAACCTCCTTTTGTTCCGGGATAGCAGCTAACTTCATTACAAGTATGCATATCAGGCATAGCATGCATAACAAACATAGCGCGCATACAACAATCAGAAAGTCATTGAGAAGGGTAATGATGTAGTGAAGTTTGTAATTAATAACAAAGTTCCAGCACAGTGTTTCTAAGCGAGAATTGAAAATCAAGGCCTTCTACAGGAACACAATGTCACAGGATCACCTCAATGCATTGGCCATGGTCTCTATGGAAAAGAATCTTGTCATAACATCCCAGACTTCAACCACTGAGATGAAAAGAAATTATCTTCTCTCAAAGATAGAGGGACCAAATGTATATATGAAATGTAGAGCACCATTACTTTGTATGTTTTGATATATATTGTAAATCTGTGCTAAATGAACTAAAATGAACTGAAATAGAATGTCTAGCCCCCACCCTCCCATAAACACACCCACAAACACAGAATTCCACCAGCTGCCACTGATCATGTACATTTTACTTAAGACTGTCTGTGTTCTTTTGTTCTGTTTAATTTCTGCAAAATAAAGCTATTGTGATGTAAATCAATAGGTAGATGCATAGGAAAAATGTACCTCTTGCATGATTGTGTAGTACTGTCGCTAAGCTCTAATATACCTCTACATATGTGACTGAGGTAAAAAATTATCTAATTTATAGCTGGAATTTGACCCTGTTCCTTATTGCATTTTCAGGTTACCTAAGGTGAGCGGAATTCATCCTGAGCACAACAGGTAAGCTAAGCATTTGACCTTAAACTGTGAAATGTGTTGGTATTTTGTTTTAGTTTTTTACATCTACTGTGGTTATGTCTAATCTTACAGAAAGGAAAAGCTACATGTGGTCTACCTTTTGTTTTTCTCTGGTTCTCAGCCTATCAAAGGTGTGGTAATGTGTTTAACATAAAGCAGAATATAACCTGCTTACTGGTTTAAAAGTTGTATTCCGGTTTACTTTCTTCATGTTTGCATTGTACTTAGTATAAAAGGATTTTAATTTCCTGGTTCTCTCCTTTAGTGTCAAATCCTCCTGTCGCTATGAAGGTTCTTCTCGTCTCTTGTATCTGCTTTCAGCTCCTCCTTGCTGTTTTCTTCAGTGCAGCTTCTTGTAAGTTCTGTTTTATTATTACAAGTAGACTCCAAAGAGGATTCTGCTTTCCTTTTTCCTACTTTTAGGTCCGTCAGAAAAGTATGAAAATAGCACTTACAAAGCAAAAAAACTTTTAGCAGAGTATGGATCAGGAAATAAATCTGTGCTTATCTGGTTGTTGTTTAGTTATGTTTGTAATTGAGAAAAAAAAATCAATAAAATAACTTCTGAAAGAAGTTACAAATTATTTAATCTGCTCGCTTTTCTATTTTGCCTTTTACTTTGGTTTGTTTCTGTGATAATATAATCTGCATATTGATTTAAGCAACAGGTGATGTTTCAAACCAAGAGTGGATGAAAGAACAACTACAAAACATATCACAACAGCTGGATAAATTTTGGAGAGAACTGGATATGCTAAACGGTAAACCTAAAACTCAAAATACTGAGACTGAAACTTGAATAACTGAAAACAAAAGAAAGGATAAAAAATGAAACGGAAGGATTAAATGTCAACAATAAGTTAAGTGTCATTTCGTGATTTTCTTTATTTTAAAGATAATTATTTGTTCTGTTAAGACAGAAAATGTCCTCATTGCATCAGTTTGACAGCCTTTCGCTTTATCTTTTCTCCTGAAACAGGCAACTACAGCTTTAGGAGATCGGTTTCCATAGGTGATTTAATTTGTATTGTTTTGGCAATATTTATACTGTTACATCAAAAAGGTGAGGATTATTTTCCTTTAAAAATTAATTGTTTTTGGTGGATTTTTTTGTGTTTTCTTATTGTTTTTTTAGAATATAGCAGGGCAGTACAATGTTTATCTGTTTTGTATTTCTCTTTACATGATTGCTTTCAAGCAACAACCTTTAATAAATTACGAAAGGGTAAATACACAGGAACAGAAATGAAAAGTTAAGAAAAAACAACTGGATATGAAAAAAAAATCTTAACTAGTCTATATGTATGGCACACATTTTAGGCTGTCCTCAGCTCTCAGGAAAAAAAATTTAAGTTCTCAGGAAAAGAGAAATTACAATCTTTTTCCACAGAACTGAGTACGGCCTAAAATGTTCACTGTATATATATAATGATAAAATTACTTAATGATATGTCCAAAATATTCAGTCTTAAATATGTAATTGAGTACAACAGGTAAATAAGAATTATAAATGGCTTTACTGGAAATATATCGGATCAATTTGTTTTAAAAACATATTTATTTTTTCCAAAACCAGCACAGATTTTAAATCAGCAAAGGAACAAAAAAAAATTCTAAATAAACAGGTGGAAGATGTGGAGAGAGAAATGCAAAACCATAAAGCTGACAAAATGAAATTATTTAATGTGTGCTTGAATTGTTGCTCAATCATTTGTGTACATTAATCACATACATTTTTATTAATGTAAAGTTTTTCAGAAGTGATGATTTAATCTTCATTTTTTTCCCCTTCTCTCTGGAAGACAAGAAGACCAAACAGGAAGAGGAAAAAGGTAAATCAAACATAAAGATACAAGACTGCTATTTGAATCATTGAAATTAAGAATGGATAAGTAATAGTAGGGAATTGTTTAGCGTAAAAGATTTTTTATGTGTCATGTATTGTTTTTCCACATTTAAAAAAAAAAATGTTTTAGGCGGAAAATACCCTCACTGCATCAGTGTAACTGCAAAATTAAAACATGTTTGTATATTTGCTTTATGTTCTAATTTCTCTATATGAGGGTAGAATTTTATCCAAAATTAGGTTATTAACTCTGTGTGATTCAATTGTTGCACTGTCATTTCTGTAAATGAGTACATTTTGTTATCCATTATGATTACATGATATAATATTTTAAATAACAGTAAGTATGTAGATTCTGTAAACAAAAAAAAAGAAATAGGAGAAATTAAATTAAATCTCCTTTAATAAATTTTTAGTTATTTGATGCAAAGAACAATTAAAATGATAATGAATCAAAGAGAAACAACTGAAAGAAGTGAAGCAATTACTGGAGAAGGGAAGCAGTATGGCTGGCAGTTTAAAGAACTGTAGGCTGAAAGTGATAATAAAATAATAATAATAGAAAAACAGAAACGTGTCATGGAAAATATTTAATCATTAAACAAGGAATAGCTGATACTGTTTTAAGAAATTAAATCCTGCACTGGTCTGTATCTGTCTCAAGTTGCTTTAAATATTTTATTGTGTTTGATCACGTTTTGGAACCTTATAAAGTTTTTGTATCTCTTTTTTTCCCATGACAGATAAGAAGACAAAAGAGTTACTTGACACCATAAATGAAATAAAAAATCAACTGGAGAACCAGAAAGAAAAACTGGGCCAACAACTCAGAGAGGTTGAGACTAAAAGGGAGAAAAACAAAGAAGAACTTCAGGTGGTGGAGAGAAAAATATCTAGAGGAGATGCTTCTGATGGAAAGGATGAGTTATTTAAGAGGAAAGAAATTCTGTTAAACTACCAGTGGAAACTTGATGAGGAAAAGAAAACTTTTGAAAGACTGCTGCTGAATATAGACAGTACCATGGAACCTATAGAGATTCAGCTTGCAAAAATAACAAATAGACAAAAAGAACAAGAAAAGGGTAAAAAAGATGTTTGAATCAGTAACAAAGCAATATAGATTCTAGGCCGATAATCTCTGAGCTTCTGAATAATTAAATTAGATTAATAAGGGTTAGGCTTCTTTAAATTATAATTAGCTTGTCAGCATCAGCTTTATATCTGCACTTTGGAATCAGTTATTAATAAAAAGCCTGTCTGTTATAAGTTCCTAATTAAGACTCTTCGGATGGGAAAGAAAATAATAAGTATATAATACATAGAGGTCCCATAATAATCTGGATGAAATTTATTACAGCATACAACATACCAGTGACACATGTTTAATGATTAAAAAATGTATTTTCTTAAACAGACAAAGGTTTTATTGTAAATAAATTATGAAAGCCATGCTATGCACATACTGTGTGTGAAATTTAGAGACAACATAGATAGACTTTGTTTAGGAAATCAATACAAGGGTAATTTACTGTATTGGTCACTACAAATGCACATTGCATACAAATATGATAACTGCATTTAACACTGGGCGGCCAGAAGCTACCTGTGGAGCCTCCATGAGGGCTAAGAGTTATGTTCAAGAATCCAGAAGGGATGTTGGGATTTTGCAATATGCTCATAAAATGTTAGTTATTTATCTGAGATGAAGTGCCTATTAGCTTATTTTGGGATTTGCTTGGCTGTCCATTTCTAAATATATTTTCTTTTTGATAAATAAAGCTAATGGGCATTTTAAACATCAGATAAAAATGTCCTACTCTTTCCTATTGTACCTTTTGAACACATTTCCTATGAAAAATTATCATGGAAACTAGGCACTGTCTACAACAAGAAAATGGGACTCAAGTCCAAATGAGAGTGGCTAATTCAATCATTTGCATTTGCAGAAAAGGTATTAGTTTCTCTGTTTCATGTGCAGTTTCTGTAAATGTTGATATTAATATGTTAACTGTGTATTTCAATGAGAATTACTCAATAAATTGATATATTCAATGTTTGTTGTGGTAGCAAGGAGTATTTTTTTTAAATATAAAGATAACTTTATCTCTAAGATTTTCATTCATTCAAAAGTTATTTCTAGTTTTTATAAACATTTTATATAATGGACTGCATAGAGGTGCAATTTGTTGCCCTGCAGACTTGCAGCAAGAAGGTCCTCGGTTCAGTTCCCCCCTTACCACTGTGGTCAGAAAAATCTATTTCCTATCACATGCCTTCTAATATAAATTATTAGTTTGAATTTTATTTACTTACATAAAAGGAAAAAAAATTCAGTTCAGTCATCGCACACCTGCAAGGTAACACAGTTTCTAGGTGAGAAGGGTTATTTTAATACTGTTAGGGACTGTTTGGAAGAGAGACCAGACTCCTTGAGACTCAATGTTTGTTCAACATTGTATTCTTTTGTACAACAGCCTGTAACTTTTTTTTTGATTAACTGTATGTGACGACCTTCGCTCTTTGCAGATTTTAAGTTAGTTACAAAAACCTTGTCTAGACCAGAACATGCAGGAACATCGGCTTAGACCGTACATGTTCTCCCTTCCAATGATTAATAAATGCAGTTTGAATGAAGATCACCAATCTATTTTTCTTATTAACTATATTATATACATTTATACTTCGATTTTTTATTTATTTATTTTTTTTTGGGGGGGGGGGGTGTCCGACAAAAGGGTCTTTCTGCATGCCGTTTGCATGCTCTCATGTTGCATGCCTAGGTTCTATGTGTGTGTGGGTTTGTTTGACCTACAATTGGGGGCAGAGTATTGGCACATATCCCCTGTTATGGGGACTTACAGGTCCAAATAACGACATTCAAAAGGTTCCAAAATGGTAAAGTTTTCTTATTTGGGTTGGGGTTAGGTTTAGGTCTTGGGTCTGAATTGAGTTTGGTCAGCGTTAGGTTTATGTTGGTAATGGTTAGGTTTAGGGTAAGGCATGTAGTTAGAACATATAAAATGAATGTAAGTCAATGAAATATCCCCAAAAGTAATGCGTACAAAAGTTGTTTGTGTGTGCATGGGTGAATGTTTCAGTGTTTCCCTGTGATGGATTAGCATCTTGCCTTTTGCACATAAACTACTGGAAATAGGCAACAGCCAAAGACCCTGACAAACAAGTGGCAGAAAATTGATTGATTTTACAAAGTCAAAATATATGGTGGTGGCTTTCAGCTTCGGCTGATTTTACTATTAAGTTAACAGAACTTTGTTCTTTTGTCGCATCTGTCCTGGCTTTGATCATATACAGCAGGCATGCAACATTAGCTTCGAGCTTGAAAGGATCAGTTTAGGCAACTGGATGTCAAGTTTTCTAGAAGACATTTCAATTCTCATCCAAGAGGCTTCTTCAGTTCTAACTGGTGGTGGGGAACACCGAGATCAATATACTATGGGTTTAGAATTTGGGGAAATACCAATAGGTGGCTATGATTCCTGCTACTAGATGCCCCGTGAAAATGACCTGGATGGTCGAGCCTCTTCACAGATGTCTGGTTCTGACACCTCCCTTACAGCTGGATTTACAATGAAATCTCGACAAAAACTGTTGAGCAGTAGATCTTGAGTTGCTGTCAGGGTGGAAGACAGTGCTGTTCCTTCTGGAATGTATATTGAATATCAGAATATTTTCAGGTTTTGATCTGAATAAGAGTGCTATATGTAAACTACAATTCTCATCTGAGCTTTTGTCCTCTACTTCACAAGGGACAAAAGAGACATTACTGTATATGGCCTAGCAGGTATATTTATTTTCTCATATGCAATTCCTTTATTTTTGTATTTGCCATTGTTACAGGTTGTATTTATGTATATTTTTTCAAATTTATAACAAGGAAAACCTCAAGCAATGATAAATAAATCTGATATTTGCAGCCCATGGAAAGCCGTTTACTGAACTGATCTTTGAGAAAGTTTGTGATCGGTTGTACTCATTGGTTTAAAATAAAATTTTCTGGGAATGTAACATAAAGAATATAAAATGATCTTTTTAATGTGAAAACCTTTTGTCCTAATGATTTAAATGTTTTTTGATCTAAAACAATTAGTGACTTGAATTTCTGAGCATTTGATAAATGTTTTAAATCCTTTTTTTTCTCAGCTTTTCATCAACAAGAATGATCCCTATAAATCCAAGGTTATCTTTGAAACCTTTGA